CAGAGGGTCCGGACTGACCCCGCTCCAGTCCCCGTTGTGCTGCCAGAAGATGTGCTTCCACACCTTCACTGCCCTTCGCTGGAGCATTTCAGAGACAACTACCTAATTCCACAGAAGCCTGTGGTCTTGGAGGGGATTATTGACCACTGGCCGTGTATGAAGAAGTGGAGGTGAGAAATAAGAGTTTCTCCCCTGCCCTAGTAAGAGCGAGGATTGTTTTCTGTGTCGGGCATCTTGATGCTCAGTGGAGCTGTAGAGACCTTCACAGAAGACAGGTGCCATTGGGAGCGACTCTTGTGGGCAGCACCTTCCTGCTGCGATGTCGTCTGCTCTGTAGCAGTTGCTCCACAGATGAGGGAAGCGCATCAGACCATCCAGAGCATTGCACAGCAGGTGTTCCAGTGCGCCAGGGAACCCGTGCCCTGGCCAGGATGGCGCTGGAAGGCAGCAGCTCTCAGCCCTGTGCTGGGGAGCGCTCCGGCAAACCGCTGATGCTGTCTGTTGCTCAGCTGGAAACTAGTGACAGGCGTGCAGTGCTAACTGTTACAGTGAGCTACTCACATCTTGTGTGGGTCTGTGTCAGACACAGATCAGGGATTTTTACGTCTCTGAACTTGCTGATAAGTAGTGCAATGGAGAGTGAATTTCAGAGATGCATGACTAAGCATGTTTGGCTTTTTCATTCATAAGTTCAAGCACTGACGTTCGTCAGTATCACATCAGAGGGTTGAGTTTCAGACACTGTCATTCAGGAGTGAGTAGTAACATTGTGCACCTTCTGCAAGGTAACCAATATTTCCAATACTGAGAATCGAGTATTTGTGAGATAAAGTTCATGATTCCTTAGAAAAGGGAAGAAAACACTCGTGCTTGGCTTGAGCAATTGCTTTTGTTCCACAGCCAAGAGTAAAATTGACATTAACTGAACACACTTGTTATTGCATAGGGTTTTGATTTTTTTTTTTTTTGAGGGAAGGTACTGCACTGCTTAATGTCAGGAACTTAAAAAGATTATCTTCTCCATTTAGTTAATGTAATTGTCGATGGAGAGATGTATACCACTCATCAAAGTAATTAATCTAACTTTAGCAAGGATGGATATTAGTGGCATCTGTATACAGAATTCGTCACTGACAGAGAGTTGATAGAGCGTTAACAATAAAAAGATACAACATTTTATTTAGCAAGCATGGCAGTAGGCAACATAAAGATGAACCATCCCTAGGCAAGAGAGACTAACAGCTTAAGTCGCCTTAGCTCATAAGGAAACAATAGTTAACTGAGGTAAACAAGGTTTTAAAACAGAACAAAGCAGACAATTGTGGCATAATATACGTGCAAACTTGACTGCTTGTTTTCTTGCTGCTTGTGTCCTTTTCTGCTGTCTTTTCTCTCTGGTTGGTTGGTTTTAGAAAGAAGAAACTCATGGCAGTAGAGTTTTACAACTTGAAAAGGTTGATTTTGATTGGTTGCCTTTCATTCAAAATTAGTAAGAAGAGCAGTATTAAAGGGTAATGGAACTTTCTTTATTTCAGTGTGGAGTATGTTTGTCAAGTCGCAGGGTGTCGCACAGTCCCCGTGGAATTGGGTACTCGATACACAGATGAGGAATGGTCTCAGAAGCTCATGACTGTCAGTGACTTCATCAACCAGTATATTGTGAATGAGGTCTGTTGCTCTCATTTTGTTTCATCTCCAAATCCAGCAGTGTGTTATTGGTACAGCATTTCTGCTTAGAACACACATGTTTAGAGATGATGTCAAGGGAGGGGATATGCTCTAAGCACAACTCTGAATTAAAAGGTTCGATGAATATTTTCAAGATCTGAAGCTACAAATAGTTATTGCAACAATAACTAGATTTCATTTTTATATGGAATCAAATGTACAGCAGCTGGAATTTGATTAATAGATAGATAGCTTCTGCAGCAAAAACCTGAATGGTGGAGTCTAACGATAAGGGATCCTCAGCCAGCAGTTATTTTGTTCGTCCCAGTTATTAAACTGCTTAGTGAGATCTAAGATCAAGATTCAAATCCACATGCCACCAGGAATGAAAAATTAAAAGTTGATTAGCATTAACAATAATTAATCCTTTGAATGTCCTTTTACTTTCACAGCTGAGGATCTAAAGCCCTTGTTTCTGTTTCCTAGTCTTCTGGCAGGAAGGACCATGTGCCATTGCAAATTGGTCTGTGGTGCAGCCTGGAATAGAGTATCGAGAGGCTTCGAAGGTGAACTAGTCTGTGTACCAGCAGGGTCTGGCTATAAAGATGCAGAGCGTTGTCCCAGGGGTGACAACAGAGTCATTGAAACTCTGTAGGATTATAGCTGGGCTTCTTCCACTAACTCGAGCTTGATAACTTGTTGGTCGTGGGGATATTTCTACACTCTTACAATTCCAGTGTAGCTGTAAGTTACTATTTCAGAAGACTCCTTATACTAGTCATCTGTTGTAACAATTGCAGTACTCTGAAATAGGACATTGGAAATGGATGTTACTTATAAGTAAATTAACTAACTGAGAAGTCTTACCCTATATGTCACTATGCATTTTTTTCTTTCTCTGCTGTAATTTCAGAAGAGTGTAGGATACCTTGCCCAGCACCAGCTTTTTGATCAGGTAAAACTGAGTGAATGTTGTCTTTCTGCAGTCAAGCATTCCCTTTGTAGCATAAGTCATCTCTGAGGATGTCGACTCTACTAGATGGAAGGGCATGTGGAGAATTCACGGTATTTCTTCAGTTTCTATTCCCACAATTTGAAGGAACAGAGGAAGAGGTTTGTTCCGTTTGGCTGAAAGGCATGGCAACAAAACCCTTTTAGGGGTGAAGACTTTCAATCTGAGTGTTGTTTTGGTACAGTGTAGCTTGTTATAGGGATATCACCTGAAAGCAGAAATTCCCCAAAGAATATGTAAGTCAGGGAAGAGATTTGGACAGGAAACAGTCTTCAGTGATGATATGTTCATGGTATTCTGAAATGCCATGCCCATTAACCAGAAATAGGTTGGTGGGAGACGTAAAAAGGAATCTCACGGAGAAGCAAGTTTAGTGTATAAAAGATCAGCTGCTCCTTTTCCATGAACAGCAAACCTACTTATTCTTGAGGGCTTCTCTGTTTTTTGCTGAAGCAAAGGGAAGGACGAGAAAGCCCTTTCTTTCTCCCACCTCTTCCAGCGCTTGCTAGGACAGAAAGCATGAGGACATTTCTTGCAGATTCCCAGCAGTTCAGCTATTGCTCTCCTGCTGGACGAGCAGGTCATTTGTTTTCTTTGTGTCAAGCCTTGTTCCTCTGCTCTGTGAATTACATACCTTTGGCAAGTCAGCACATAATCTTTTTAATGTTTATTTCTTTATGGGAGTAGATCCCAGAACTGAAAGAGGATATTGGTATCCCTGACTATTGCTGCCTGGGGGAAGGGGAAGAAGATGACATCACCATTAACGCTTGGTTTGGTCCAGAAGGCACTATCTCGCCTCTTCATCAGGATCCTCAGCAAAATTTTTTAGCCCAGGTCTGTACTCTACTTACTCTACACATGCCATTAATGCTACATCTAGAAAAAATGGTTATGGTATGTAAGTGTTAGAGACAAGGGTAGCAGACAACTTGATGAACGATTGAAGGATAGAGAATAAGCAGATATTGTTTTGCTATTCTGTTGCATTCTATTCTACTACAAATCAGTGCAATCTTGTTGGCCACAAGTGCTCCTCATTGAGAATAGACCATTACTTACCCTCATTTTACAGATGGTAAATGGAAATCACAAGAAGCAATTTTTCTAAGGTCACACAAGGAATTTGTAACAGAGTTGGGAAGCACCTGAATCCTGTCATAGTGTACCAAGGAACTTCCTTTTCTGGAACAGCAAGATTTTGGGGTAGACTTAGGTGCATTTTTTAATCCATTTCAGGTTACCCAATAAAATATCTACTCATGCATGCATTGAGAGTCAGATGAAGTAATATTTGCACTGTGACCTCATTGCAGCTAAGTTAAGTGTTGGTAGGTTTCTTGATGGCAATTTTTTAGTGCAGAGTAACACAATAAAATACTGGGGCCCTTTGTGATGAGCGCTGTACAAGTCCAAAGATGTATTCCTCGTCCAAGCAGCTGACAACTGTACATCTTCAAACACTGAGGGGTTTTTGCTTACTGGAAGGAGATTGCCATTTCTTCCTCAAAAAAAAAAAAAAAAAAAAAAAAAAAAGTCTTACACTTTCAGACATTTTCCAGCAGGATCATGACATTGAATACTCGTGCTTATTTATGAGCTGACCCTTAGTTCCTCTGACCCAAACAGTTGCATCTTGCTAACCTGTGTTTACATTTGGAACTGAGGCCTTCCTGAAGTGGGTTTTTAGAACTGCTGTGCAATTATGTATATATTGTACTTCCTGCCAACCTACCTGACACAGACACACACAGACAACTGCATTCTGGAAGTGAAGTGTCCTAACTATAGATGCTATGTAAAACTTGCTGGGATTTTTTTTGGGTGCAAGTCCATTATAGGAGTTGTTGGACTGGGAAAAGATACTTCCCTTACAGACTTCAGAACTTGTATTCTTCTGCCTGAAGAATGAGGGAGTATCTGCCAGTGCTGTAAAAGTCTTTGTAATTTGAACACCAGATGACCTGGCAGTTTTCAGTTTTCCATTAAAATAGCTCTGCTTCTTGATGCCATTTAAAACGTGGCTGTGGAATGGTCCCTACTGGCTGGGTGGTAGCTGCTGCAGAGATGGTATTTCCATTAATGAGGCAATCAGTGTAGAGGTGCAGGCTGTTGACAGTTACCTTGTGGTTTCAGCCTTGCAATATACAAGGCCTGAACCCAGCGAGGCAAGTGAAGGAAGGAGCTGTTAACACCTCAGGGCAGTCCAGGTACCACAGGGACAGCCATCATTACTCAGATCAATGCTCTAGCAGTACAGAACAGTAGTATCACCAGGTAGTGAAGAGCAGGACAGGGCACGAATACACCAATACTTGCCCAACCTTTAGGGTGTGTTTATGTGCTGTCCTTGAAGCAACAAACTTTAAAACATCAAGCATTACAACTTGGGTAAGGTTGCGAGAAATCCTGTTGTATTATGTGGAGAATACAGGAAAAGCAGCTTGGTTGGAATAGTTTGGTACATAATGCCAGCCCAGGGTACTGTGGTTAGTCAGCGTACTGACTTACTCTTTAATGTGATAGTTCCAAACAAATATGATCACGCCTGGCCCTTGAATAAATCTTGAATTCTAGCACAAGCAGCATGAATATTCACCCTGTGCCTTCTGTGGGCATTCCACTGGTATCGGTACAGGATCAGTTTTGTCTCGTTTATTCTGCCACTTAATTCTTGGCACTGGCAACTTGCAATTCAGTGTAGTGTTCAGGTCAGTCAGTCCACTTACCTTATGAACTCTTTCAATTAAGTCTTTCAATTAAGCACTCCAATGAATGACACAGAAATAAGAGCTAAAGGAGTATATGGGAGTTTAGCAGTAACTCTGTGCTGGTAGCTCTGCCTCCTGATGCAAACTGCACTGAAGACACAACCTCCTTATTTTCAGTTCTTCTAATTTCTCATTATGTAGAGCCCAAATAACGTCGAATAAATTGGGTGCCTTAAACTTTGAATTTAAAGCACTTGAATTCCAATAGTCTGATTTGTTTTAACTTTTTAGTATAGAAGTGTCTGTTTATTACTAACAAAGAATGCAGTTTCCTGTAGTCAGGTATATTTTACTGTTAAATGCCAACTATGGCCCACAGTTTCCAGTAATGTGCAGGTTAATAACAGATGGAAAACTTTTATTGTAATATATACAGGTATTTGGAAGAAAGTATATCCGTCTATATTCACCGCAAGATTCAGAAAACCTGTACCCACATGAAAGCCAACTTCTTCACAACACTAGTCAGGTAAATAGTTGTCTGAAACTTTAATATCAGTAATGTTACTTTATCAAATCATATTTGAATAAGGACATTCTACTGATGAGTGTTTTGGTTTTTTATAGGTTGATGTGGAAGATCCTGACTTAGTTAAGTTTCCTAATTTCAGAAAGGCTGCATTTCAGTCCTGTATTCTGATGCCTGGACAGGTTCTATTTATTCCAGTTAAATATTGGCACTATGTACGATCGCTTGATATCAGCTTCTCTGTCAGTTTCTGGTGGTCATAGCTCTGAAGCACACATAAAGGTCTGTGAGCATTATAATCACAGTTAGAAGCCAGAAAAAGTAGCATCGGGCATCTTCTCACGGGATTCTTTTTAAGCATGAGAATGTTCGTCCCTGATCAGTTTAGAGGTGGATTAAAAAACAAACAAACAACAAAAAAACCCCACCAAAACCCAACAAACTCTTGCTTCAGCATAGTGAAAGAATCTGGATGGGTAAATGGAAAGAAAATGCTACAGCCACTTTATTTTTGTGGACATTTCTAATATGAACTCCCTATAAAGAGCATCTGTTAGGTCATCATCTTGTATGTGTGTGTACATCTGAAACAGCTCTATATATGGGCACTGCTAGGACTCCGCTTCAAACCGTATTCGGAACATGAAGTTAGTGTTATCTTCTGCTTGGATTTAATAACAGTAAAAACTGGAGTTACATAAACAGTGAGAGATGGTGCTACACAAAGGTTCAATACACTTTAAAAAAAAAAGTAACATGAAGTAACTAGACTCCTATATGGAAAAAAATAAGGCCTAGGAATATAACTAATTGTAGTTAATCCATAGATTAATTGCATTTACATAAACTGAAGCTTAATCATACTTTGATTAACCATCAGCTGAACTGATGACACTGCATTCTGCTGATTGTCACACAGTTTTACCAAGGAAAAGCTATGCTGCCAGTCCATTCTGGCTCCTGGCACTATCTCGTCCTTCTCTTTTTTCAAGTCACTCTTAAAGGAAAAAGCATCCTTACATAAAACTGGGGAGTGAAGTGCTAATATTAAAACTTAAAAGAATCTTAAGATGATAATTTTTTTCAATGCTTTGCAGACATGAGCTGGCATTGCCTCAAAAGTCTTGTCCTACTCCTTCCCAATCATTTGGATTGTGGCACTATTCCCTGTTATTGAGCATAGTTGCTCATGATCTGTCCTTGTGTCAGATGAACTCTTCTGTGCCTAAAGGGACAAAAAACAAGCAACAGTGCCAACTGAAAGTGTTCAGACTCTAGCCCTAGACCAGAGAGTCAGCCTTCCTAGTGAGGAGACCACAAGTGCTGCACTGATTGTTTCACCTACTTGAAGCCCTGTGGTGCTAATAACAGGTTTCATTTTCAGTTGTGCAACTGAAACTGTACAAATGGGGAACAAGGCTTCTTTTAAGAGTTCACCTGCATAGATCAGCTTGCAGGACTGACTGAAAACATCTGCATCTTTCATTCTGAAACATGCACTGAGAGTGCCAACCCGAGAATATGGAGAACACCACACATAAAACAGGCTCCAAGAAAGATGTGCAGCCATAACTGTAAGGAAGGAGAAAAGGAAGGTCATTTATAGTTTTATTGTAAGATTCTGAGAACTTAAGGAAAAAATAAGTACACTGAACAGTGCATTGTTACTAATGAATACAATACAGTCTGGCTATTCTGCAAGATTGGAGAAAAAAGTTTCACTGAAAGCAAGTTTTACTAGCATCATCTAGTGCTGAGAATGAAGCTCTTCTCTGCTCTCCCTGTTTTTGATGGTGAGTGGGAGTCTGACTGACTCATACCTGTAAAGAAAACAAAAGGAACGTTAATGAATGGCACACAAAAAAAGGATGATACTGTATAACCTCCAGGTTTTAAAATGCTTTATATATTCCTGTGTTCCTGTTCAGAATGTCCAGTTTCTCTGGCTAACAGAGGAATTTCAAAGATTGTGCTCTTCTTAGAAGCTTAGTATTTATAACATTTCCAGCAGTTTTAGTGTCATGTGTTGTGTTTGTCCACTATTTCCCCCCCTGGTCCCAATTCCACACTTTAATGTTGTGAGAAACAATATGTGCAGGATCTGCTGGTGACCATAAGGCACAGTCCTTGCCCTTTCAGGGTTCAGTGTTGCCCATGTATGGTTTCCTGTCTGAAACATACAACTGAAGTCAGAAATAAGTGATATTAAACTACAGTTATAAATAATAGAGGCAGTGCCACTGAATATCACAGTCCGTTCTCTAGTATTGTTACAGTCAGGTTTTTTTAAATAGGTTGCTTGGTACCTGGAATGTCGCAAGACCAGAAATCATTACACTGTGGACAGCGTGGTTCACTCTGAGCTCTAAAGTACTTTCTGACACAAGGTAAATGCATTCCAGTTCCACAGGATTCACATACCTGGCTCTGAAATCAGAAGTGTTAACAAAAAAATCCTTCTAACTTGTCCTTCGCTTTAATATAAGGTTGTTACAAGGGGCAGGAGATATGCAATGCTTTTATTTCAAAGAATATTTCACACAGTACAGTTGGTGGATACTCAAAAGTCAAAGTGGTAAATGATAAAATGAGGTTTTTTTTCCTGGAAACTAGTAAATACCATTCCCTATATGGACCAAATTTAGCGTGAAAGACAAAAAACACTGAGCCATTTTGAGTGTAATAAAGGAGACCAGTTGGGATGGAAAAAGTAACATGGAAGCATGTTAGCTGGGAAGATGAAAAGATGCAGGGCCAAGGAGCAAGAGAATGCAGTAGTTTTGGAACAGGAGTTCAGGCTGTAACCACTTAGGCAACACTAAACTGTTAACCTAACAGCTATCAAAATGCAGTGCTTTAGCATGCTATATAGAAACATACATGTTAATTCTGAAGTCCAAGACACAAGCAATTCCTGAATCAAAAATCCCAGGACCAAAGATGAATGTGTGTCACGTGAAGACTGCTATTTGTAAGGGCCAAAGAGAACACAGCTAACACTTAACTGTTAACACCTATTTAAGGATAAGGGTTTTTTGTTTGCCTGCTGGCTTTGGAAAGCAAGATAGTACAATTGGGTGAGATCGCTTTCTCCAAGTTTATACTTGGAGATACTGCTCCAAGGCAAGTTTTTTTTCCAAAGACAGAAGATAAAATACCTACATTAGAAAAAAGGGGGGGGAAGATTTTCTTTATATACATGGGCATCATTACCAGATTGCAAGACCATTATTTTTCAATGTCTGTATCATACTCAAAAGGAAAGTATGACAAACTTCAGCTATGGCCACCTAAGTACATCAGCAGATGCCTACTGCTGATAAAATAATAAAACAAATGTTACCTGGATAGCAAGGCTGTGACAGATGTTACACTTCCTTGCTGCATCTTGGTAGTTGCTGAGAATGTATTGTTCCATCTCTATTATGCAGCGCGTATGCAGAGTATATTCTCCATTTCTCTAAGGAAACAAGTGGCAAGACAAGCAATTTATTTTCATTCCTTTTACCTTTTTTGAATTTTCTAACCACCTGCCATTGTGAAACTAACATGATGACACTGATATAATGCAAAGCCAAAATACTTTTGAAGTATCAAAATTAATTTGTTTAGAGGATCAAAATAAAGATGTTACACAGAGATCTAGTCCTTGGAAGGTACAGATGAGCAAACATGCTTTCCTTAACAAAGACATGCAGTTTTGGGAGCCTCCATTTGCATATTAGCAGAAATTCTACTGGCTTTCAGCAAAATCTAGCCATTTACTGCTTCAGGTATCTCTGGAAATATCTGCTAAATCACTAACATAAGTAAATGTGTGGCAGCAGGTTGGAGATTTATGATGCAATGAGTCCAGAAGAAAAGGGATTGAGGTCTCACTTGCCTTAGCAAGCAGCTGCAGTGTCCACATCGTAAACTAATCTCCGTTTCTCCCTCATGAAGTGAATTCAAAAATGTGCACAGTGGCTCATGCATTTCTGGTACAGGAGTTTTCAACATGTTTGGCCTCACTGCTTTTCAGGATATATTCTGAATGTAACTAACAAACATCACCCTGAAGAGCTTCCAAATTTAAGCATGCTGTGTTGTTGTGTACAAAGGATGTCTGTGTGTCAGCATGCAGGGCTGTACACACGTACCCACCTTGCTCAGGTACAAGAAAGTGAAATCATGTTGTCCTGTATAGACCTACCCAAGGACTTTTTCCTTGTAAATGTACTACCTTTTCTGCAAAGATCGCTGGAGCAGCAATAAGCAGAGGCTCCACAAAACCATTTTTGCCATAATTCATTAAAGAACAGCTTCAGTTTCACCCATCACATTCATAAGAAACTAACAGCCAGACCGATTAAAATATGAACACTTGAAAAGAGACAGCAGTTACCTCAGAGAGCCACTTATCCTCCACAAAAACTTTCAGCACTTGTTCCACTTCCTTTTTCTTCATTTTCTTTGTCTTAAGTTGGTCAGCCAAGTTTAATATATCTGTAGAAGAGGCAAAGCCATTTTCTGATAAAATGATTAGGTCCATCTACAGAAAGAAACATTTTCAACTATTAAAAAAACCCAAGCAATTAGACAGACACACGTAATAGTCATGTGCAGCTTTTTCAGCATCCATACATATGAGGTACACTACAGTATACAGCCTGAACTAGAACCGTAAAACAAAAGCCAGAAGCTGAATCAATGTCACCTTGATGGTTTTAATCTTTGCCAAGAAAACATTTCCACAAATAGAAGTGTATTGCTGCCTAAATGAAGCTGCATTCAGGGACCCTTGAGCACACCCAAGGTTGACAGATCTGTTTCTTTTTACCTGCATTTTGTCAAGGTTCTTTGGAGGAAAGATCTCTCACTACTAAAGTAAGTTTGTCCACTCTGGAGTCTGTAGTGCTGCTTAACCTACTTGGCACTTGAAGATTGTAGCAGTATTACCAATCTTCAGAGAATCTCTCATTGCAAACATCCTGCTGCTCATTGTCACAGAGCAGCATGCAGAGTTTTTATGCCAGTAGCAGTGTGTGCCATGACAATGCCATCTCTGCAGCGCTGACATGGCTGTATAGGCGTTTCACCAATAATGGTGGAGGGCAGGGAAACTGCTGGGTACTGTGCATGTACATTAGACTTTTGCAGCTGTCACAGAATAGACAACACAGCTCTCTTCACAGTTTATACAGCATATTTTATTAAAATGAGTGTGCAAAAAAAAAAAAGTAAAAAGTCTAATGGCTGGAGAAATTCAGTCCTCAAAGCTCAAGACACAATGAGAACAATCACTAAAACATGCAAGATATACAGCTGTGATCACAACTCACATTAAGGGTTGTTG